AGATTGGTAGGATGATCAGGGCTAGCAAAGATCCTTGGCTGGAGGTCATGTTAGTATCAGAGAGATCATTATCTTCTGCTTTATTATTATTAAACTAAATTATATTATAGACATTCTTCATGATATATCCAACTTAGAATATTTACAAGATATGGTCATCAGGGTACAAGAAGGGTCTGTTAGTAGTTTGAGTATACTTAATATACTTATAGTTAAGTTCTTGTACAATATCATTGATTTGACCATAGGTTAGAGTAGTAACTATTTTAGCAATAGTAACTCAGAGACAGGGAATAAAGATACTATACTCATAAAAGAGTTCTTGATATTTACAAGTAATGAGTTTCTAGTATTGAGACATTTTGGTAATATCTATATTATAGTAGTGGCTAACTATATCTTTCAGGAGATAGCTAATCTGATAGTAGCTTGAGATTTGTCTGATTTAGTAGGTCTTGCTAAGTATGTTCAGAGTATTCTATTGGGCTTTCACAAAGTAGAATAGTGCTAAACTATAGATATTTATAAGGGGTAGAGAAGCTGTGGCTTCATTGATAATAGCATTTCAAATATCAGTATAAATACAGTTATAGATTTCAGTAATCATGACTGGGTATATATTTGGAAGTTTGTTTGTCTGATTTGTTATAGTTTTTCATTTTGACATATTTATATATTTGATATATATGCTTTTAGTTCTAATTAATAAGGTTCTGTTTTTGTAAATCTTATATTCTGTGACTTTGAGTTATGTAACTTAGCTTATAATTTGTAACTTTGAGTTGACTCAGCTTTATGATCTGATAGGTGATTTTCAAATTTGTTCTGAAGATGATATGTGATTTCAGTAACTTAGAGATTATATACTTATAAATACTTATAAGAGTATATTTACATATTAGATCTAGTGATATTGGAACTGAATAATATAACCTCTCTGATTTCAAATAAAAGTCAGAGGTAAAAGAAAAATCCTTCAACTAACTAACAAAAAGTAAAACAGATTTATAGTAAGTGAGTAAAGAACTTATATATGAGATTTCTCAAAAGGATTAATATATAGACTAAGACTTGAAAAGGTCCTAATCTTACTCTCTGATTCTGTAGGCCTTAATTATATTATAATATCAGCTCTTGGTTTTAGTTAAATATTACTAAATGAGGAAGATTTTACTTCTCAAGCTTGTGGGTCTCAATTATATTATTATATTAACTTCTAGTTTTAGTTGAATATAGTTAGGATATTGATTACTGTACTACTCTACCTCTTGTCAGTCAATTAAAAGACTCTATCAAAATAATATCTGCTCTAACCTAATAACTGCCTCTAACTTAATACTCTACTGATTTACTATTATTGTCCTTTCTTCTATCTATAATGGTCATCTTTCTTCTCAATTTAACTCTATCCAAAAAACAGTCACCTATACTAGAACTGTACTTATCAGAAAGCTTGCCAAAGCTCAGAGAGCTCTACTATAGATACTGATAACCTATAGGTAACTTATACTAGTACTTGATGCCCAAGATTGACTGACTCTCTATATAGCTTATGATCTACTATAATGATATCTTATTAATAATAGCAAAAGAAAAAAGATATTACACTAAAATAAATATACCTCAGATATAGTCAGAGATATCAAAAGTTATAAAAAAGTAGAGAGGACATCAATCTGATACTGATAAAGAGATAACTCATCACTATTATCTCCTTCTCACTACTCTACAATAGGTATAGTAAACCAACCTGAGATAGAGAGAATATAAGTTATAGAAAAGGAACTCAGAAGATTGTTTACCAAAACCTTGTGACCAGTATAATAGCAGAGCATCTGCCTCTTTATATAATATACATACTGGTACCAGGTTTAGATATCCAATCTTAATTTTCAAAATTCAATAATTTGATAAAAACATATTCAAATTTGATAAATTTAGTTTTTTTTTTTTTTTTTTTTTTTTTTGGATTTGCTCTATCTAAGAAAATTTAGTACAACAAAGATCATCAAATTTGGATATATTTTGGTTGAGTTATTGTATTTCAAAGTTTGACTCTTAATTTTAAATTAAATTAGACCTCAATTTGATTTGATTTGAATTGATTTGATTCATTTGAGAGTACTAATTTATATTAGAGAGTTAGATAAGTAATAGTGTTCTTGAAGTTATACTATTATCTCTCATCAGTAGTTTATACATTGTTCCAGATCTTCTATATAGAAGTTCAGATACTCAGTAGTAATAAACTCTTTAAATAACTTACAAAATACAATCTTTTGATCTAGATAAAGAAGTAAAGTAGTGAACAGTTTAGTAGATACAGTTCATATAACATATAAGAGGTATTGTATAAGATACAAATAGTATCAGATTAATGTTTCTCTATCTCTGAGGTTTTTTTTTTTTTATTTTTTTTTTTTTTTTTTTTTTTTATTTTTTTTTATTTTTTTTTTTATTAATCTATCTCTGAGGTTTGGTTATATCAGCATCACTCAAAAATTTGCTCAGAGAACGGAGGGGTTTTAATAGCATAGTATGCATCTACTCTCGATAATCAGATGCTCTTTTATTCCATGCACCCGCATTACACCCACTCTTCCTCATTTCATTTGAATACGGCCACCACGCATAATTATCCATACTGCCAAACAATACTCGCAGGCCAAGGCGGAGGGGAAAAAACGTATAGTCCTTCCACCAAGATTATATTTAATGTATATTTTGCATTGCATAATCGTACATGACCCACGAACACAACCAAACCCACCTCCTTCCTTACTTTAGCGGCACAGGCCCCCCTCTCCAGAACACCGTTTGGGTCTTCAAATACTCGACAGCCCGTTTGGAGATGTTGACCTTGGGATCCACTTCCCGTAGGCCGGGCTCGTGCATCAGCGATAGGCTGGCGATGCCCATGTAGGAGTGGAGGAGGTCTGATGTATAATGCCAGCAGGCGAAATGAATTCAGAATGCAAAAGAGTTTGGCAAGCGGTGAAGAGAAACGTTTGTTACCTGGCGGGCAGTCGGGCCACTTGGCGAACCCGCCGTACATTGTCTGGGTGGTCATCAGAAAGCCGCGATTGCACTCCGAATTGACGAATTGAAAGCTGTCGAGTATCTGGGATTTAGGAGTAGTGAAATGAGGTTGATTGAGGTGGGAACATAATGTCTCAACCGATTGAAGAATCACCAGACTTGCCCACGACGTCGCCCGACTTCATCAAACAAGCCAAAATCGACAAGTTAACCCAAAATGCCGACAACACCAGGAAATATATATACAGCTTGTCCTCGCGCCTATCGTTACCTACCTCCAACGCCCCTCCCAGCCAAAACGAATAGCACGTATCCGAGGGCTTGTTTGACCTCCCCTGGAACCCATCGAGCTGCCGCGAGAGTATCCAGTAGATAGTGTCCTTCCTCGAGACGAGCCCCTCGTCGAACTTCCCGGTGAGCGCCAGGGCCGCGATCCCGCAGAACGTTGACCCACCGTGGGCCTCCTCGCCGGGCGACTGTGCGATGCCAAACTCGTAAGTCTGTGACGAGGGAAGTGGAAGTATTTAGTAAAAGGGTGCGATGAGGGTGGGAAGATGGGTGTATTGTGGTGGTTACCTGCGTCCTGCGTATGTAATCCACGGCCTTAGGAATGTCGACGCCGCGCCAGTCGTTAAGGATGTAGCTGATAATGCAGGCGGCATAAACGAAGCGCAGGTCGGACTCCATGCTGCCGTAGGTCGGGACAAAGCTTTGGGAAATGCGAAGGAGATTGCGAAAGACATAAGTACCGAATAAACGTTTTCGTAACGAATGCCCGAGGAATAAGAGAGACGTACCTCCCGTCCTTCTGCTGTAGATGTCGCATGGTGTTGACAATGGCATCCCGATTCACGCGCGAGAGGTCGTCGCCGAGGAGGATAAGGTTGGCAAGGGCGCTGTAGGTATTGGCCAGGTTGCCCGAGTCGTAGCTTTGGTAGGTGGTATGAGTCTTATGAAATGGTGATTGAGAAGATGGTGAGAAAATGTTCGAGAGCGACACGGACTCCCGATGGGAAGCCTGACTTACGGCGTTCGGTTCGAAGGGTCTGCCGGGCCAGGAGGAGCCGCGGAAGCCGCAGTGAAGTTCGTTTAGGGCTGACCATAATAGAGCAGATGTCAGCCAAGAAGAATTCACTGTGGATCCGAATAACAATGGTGCATTTCCTAAAGCCAGATAACCATACAATATATCTAGGTTCCTTACAAGGGTCCGCCGTATCTGGCAATATCTGCTGCGCGTAAATCCAATCAACGTAATCCTGTTTATCCGCCGCAGAAATCTCTTCATCCAAAACGCCGAGAAGCTCGAGACCGCTCAGACAAAAAAATGCGAGCGTCATCCTAATAATTTGGTGCGTGGGGTTTATCCGGGTACCATCAATGTTTACTATGTCACACATGCTCTCTACCACTCTTCGCCATTTCGAACTCCCAACCGTCAACTCCCAAACAGTGACGAGGGCACACACCTGCTAGTATCGGTCTCAGTATAGTTGTATGGCAGCATGGACAAGCTCCGCTTAAAATACGCGACATGTTTTTTAAAGGAGAAGTCAGAGGCGAAGTTTTGCGCTCTATCCTTGTCCTGATGTGACGAAACCTGGGTATGAGTTGAGTTAGCGGAATGTGAGGTCATGGTGGGAAGGTGGTGTTTGCGGGGAAGCGAAGGCGCGGCTGTGACGTACAATCGTAATGGTCACATGCCATTAGCTTCACATATATTTACCACCCACCATCAGATTGATGGAAAAAAAAACCCCCCACCCAATACACAATCAATGGCCCTTGTCATCTATACTGACTTTATTATATATTATTTAATATTTTCTCTTTTTTTTCTCTTTCTATTCTGAACCAAATAATATTTTTGGGAAGCGAGAGAGACTTTGGTATCCATTCTAGGTTAATTGCCAAATATATTAAATTTATATATATGAATATGCAAGTAATATAACAATGTTGGGGATGTGGTGTAGTGGTATCACGTTCGTTTCGCATACGAAAGGCCTCGAGTTCAATCCTCGACGTCTCCAACTTTTATCTTGCCTTTTTAGTTATTTTTGGCTAGTATAGTAAGTAATCATGTTATGTTTAAATTATGTAACTTATTATTTTAAAACTTTATAAAAAAAAAAAAATCTAAATTAATTTAATAAGTAATAATAATAATATTAAATAAATATTTTTACCATATATTTAAATTATTATATACTACTGTTTGAATATAGTATATCTTATATAATATATTTAAAATTAATTAACTTAACTAAAATCTATACAATTATTTTTTTTAAAAAAATAAAGTTCTTAAATTATGGACTATATTATTAATATATACTTTTTATTATAAAATTTCTGATGATATCTTTTTATTTGATTAAAGCTGATATTATAAATAATACCAACATAATATGTTCATATTCAGAACGAGTATAGAAACTATTGCAATCAATCTAGTTTACATTTGCTCCTCGGTAAACCCTCTAAAACTAGTGGGGGTGAGATTGGCGCGCGCCTCAATGAAGAACAAATTCCTTCCTTTGTACATTTTTCTTTGCTTAATACGTATAGCTTAGCGAGTGGCCGAACTGCATTTTTTGGGTGAACGTATGGAGATAATATTTTGGTCTGTGAGAAATGCACGGAGGAATTGATGGCGGTTTTCCTTATCTCGACCTCACGGGCAGCACAGCGTTGATCAGGTAGATCATCATCTGGGCGGTGTCGAGTCTGAAGTTCACAATCAGTTGATCGTAATTAGCTAGTTTAATTGTCTCGGCATGGAAAATTCTTAGGACACCTTACACTTTCGCACTTTTGCCAGTGCCGTCTTCAAATCGTTCATTGCCACATGCTGGCTAGCCAAATCTCTACAACCTTGACCAGAGCATAATCAGTGCATGTTCGCTCATCTCCAAAGCCACGGTGCTCTTACCGAATCTCTGGAGCATGCCACGATATTGGCCACACTGACCAAAACTGAATCTCGACGGTGTGACAATCAAATATACATATATTCAATCTTTGATCTCAATCAATGATCTGTATTTTTCATTTATCTGCCCTGACTATTTCTATCATAGTTGCTTTTCTATATTGTACCAATTTTTTTTTTTTTTTTTTTTTTTTTTTTTTTTTTTTTTTTTTTTTTTTTTTTCTGCTGTTACCTTTATCTATCTGAACGAATAATGTCCAATCGGTTTTACCACACCAGCTCTAGTCCGTCCTTTCATTGCCCTTCTGCGAGGTAAGCACCATATCAAGCCCTGCGGAGGATATCGCTACACTAGTGGCAATATGTGTATGCACCCTTTATTCGGAGTGGAATCAAGCCATTTAACCCAGATGCAGTTCGACGGGGTCGTCACTCTCCGTCGATCCCTACCGCCTTTTGGTGATGACATTGTCAGGGCCAAACCATCACCCTGGACTGCCGCCTCCCACGGCATATACTCGTGAGCTCCCAACATGGTTCGGCGGCTCCGAAAATCCGGGTAGGCTCGCAAGGAAAAGGAGGTTGTGAAGAGAAAGATGAAATGGGTGTGAAAAAGTCACGACAATTATGGGAGCCCAGTTTCTTCCGTTTTTTTTTTCTTTCTTCCTTTGGTCTCGCATACCAACAAATATCAAAGTCAACCACGGTGGTGTGCGCAGACGGGGAACGGGTCCGACGTGATTCAATATGAACATCGTAGCATTAGTTCAAGCGGAATCGACAGCATTTCAGTTTCTTTGTCTTGTCCATCCTCCCTTGTCCATCCCCGAGTTTCGGCCTCTACGAAACCCCCCTCGGTTGTGCAGTGTCTCATGGACAACGACAATGTCGTGAGCATGTCAGCTTGGTGAAATAAGGAACCAAGAGGAATAGGATACACGGTTGCACCAAAAAGCATAGGTTCTATTGGATTGCAACTGGGAATTAACGCTTCTTCGCCTAGCACCATTGGCGCAAGAAACGTTTCTGTTCATCTATTCGTCGATACATACACATGGTATGACATTCCAACCACAATTATGTCCTTCTCGTATTTTGCTGCCTTATCCAATCCTTGCAGCTACCCATTATCGAAAATAGCAATAGTAATATATATTAATACATGAGAAAAACCGAACCAGCGTCCTACTACGTGCCTTCCCACCAAATATGCCACAATGCGAGCTCATTAGCATGTGGTATACAATGCCGAAATGCAGGGGACGCGTGAACCGTGGGGTAAAAAAAAAAAAAAATAGCAAACCAACATCAAAGCGGCACGCGGTGACATGAACCAGCGCGTCAATTTGAGGAAATAGGATAGAATAGGATAAAATATACAGTATACAGCGCCGATGCAATCGCGCGAATTACAAATATATACACAAAAAATATTTCAGAAGAGGTAATGTACGAGTTTTTCTTTTTTGAGGAAAAAAAA